TTCAAATACAACAATTTTAGGTGTGGTTTCATAAACGTTTATGGTCCATCTGTGGAGTAAGAGAAGATTGGTTTTTTTGAAGAACTGGGACTGTTTTTAAATGGGTATAATATCCCTTTGTGTGTGGGAGGGGATTTTAACGCCTATTTATTAGAAGATGAAAAGGAAGACAGGGCTCACAATAGAAATTCTATGGAAATTTTTAGTTTTTTTATTCAACAAACGGTGCTTATTGATTTACCTCTTATTGGGGGAAATTTACCTGGAGTAGCAATAGGGATTTGCCTACTGTTGTGAAACTCGACAGGTTCCTGGTCAGTGCTAGTTTCTCAGCAGAATTCTCTGGGATCAACCAGTTTTTACTGCCCAAATCTATCTCTGATCATAATGCAATTTTTATTGAGAGTGGGGAAGATAATTGGGGAAAAAACCTTTTAGGTTGTTTAACTATTTAATGAATGAGGAGGGATTTTAGGAGAAGGTTGCGGAGTCATTTAAGGAATTTAAACAAGACAATAAAAGAGCTGGAATTTTGAGTATACTTAGGAATACTAAGACTCCCATTAAGAGCTAGTCTGGGGATATGAAACAATTTCCAAGGGTGGAGATTTCTGTTCTTGAAGAAAAATTCAACAGTTAGAGAAAAGAATGCAGCAAAATCAGTCTTCCAATGCTGTTGATAATGCGTCAGAGGTGCGGCTGTTAAGAAAGGATCTATGGAAACTATACAGAATCGAGGAGCAAATTTGGTGCCAAAAATCTAGAGAGAAGTGGGTTAAAGATGGAGACCGAAACTCTAAATTTTTTCATACTTGCGCTTCAATTAGGAGGATAATGAATTCCTTGAACGCTATTAATGTTGATGGTGTAATTATCAAAGATCCCGTCATTATCAAGTCTAGTGTCAGAGAGCATTTCTTTAAAGCCTATAACAGTGTTTCAACTTTGGAAGTGGAGGTTTTAGACTTGAATTTCTCACGCATTTCTCTGGAGTAGAATAAAATGTTTGAAAAGGCGTTTACGGAAGATGAAATTTGGGAAACCATCAACTCGTGTGATAGTAATAAAGCTCCAGGGCCCGATGGGTTGAATATGGGATTTTTTAAAAAAATTTGGTCTTACTTGAAAGGTGATATTATGAAGTTTTTTCACAATTTTGTTTTGGGGAAGGATTGGGAACATGGCATAAATCATTCTGCTTCGGTGTTATGAATACTTCGGTGTCAGTTTTAGTTAATGGTATTCCTTCTGCTGAATTCCCTATGGCTAAAGGTCTTAGACAGGGCTGTTCCTTGTCCCCATTGTTGTTTAATTTTGTTGGAGAAATGTTGAATCTGATGCTCCTTAAAGCAGTTTCTTCGGGACTGTTTTGTGGCCTGGTTGTGGGTAACGATGAGGCTTCAGTTAATCTATCTCATCTGCAATTCACAGATGATCTGATAATCTTCTGCAATGCCTCGAAGACACATGTAATTAATGTTAAGAGGATCCTACGTGTTTCTGAAGTTATGTCAGGTCTGAAATTGAATCTGTCTAAGAGCAAATTATTTGGTATTAATACCGATGAGGAAGAGGTTTGTCAATGGTCGAATGCTATTGGCTGTTCAGTAGGACATTTCCCTGTGGAATATTTGAGGTTGCCTCTTGGTGCTAAGAGGAATTCTCATTTGTTGTGGGATCCGGTAGTTCAAAATTTTTATAAGAAATTAGCAGGTTGGAAGGTTAAGACTCTGTCAATGGCAGGGAGGTTGATCTTATTGAAGACAGTTTTGTGCTCCTTACCTACCTATTTCATGTCCCTGTTTAAGTTACCGTCTTCAGTTATTGCTAAGCTTAATTCCATCATGGCTATTTTTCTATGGGGAGGAGGGGTGGAGACCAAAAAAATCCACTGGGTAAATTCGTTGACAGTGTGCGAAGGAAAGAATGCTGGGGGTCTTGGTGTTCTGGATATTAGTTATATGAATAGAGCTCTCCTGGGGAAATGGTTGTGGAGGTTTGCAAACGATAGGGAGTCAATGTGGAAGAAGGTTATTTACTGTAAATACCCTAATGTTCTGATGTTTAACGAAAAACTTCCGGCATATGCTTCCTGGATATGGAAATCGGTGGTCTGTAACCACTTCAAACAGGATCAGTTTGGAGTAAAATTCTGAAATTTGTTTAAAGTTCAAGTGGGGGATGGAGGGAGTATCAGATTTTGGTATGATTGTTGGGCGCATGATTCCCCTCTAAATCTGGTTTTCCCGAGATTGTTTGTTTTTTCGGTAAACAAGTATGGGAAGCTTAATGAGTTTGGGGAGTTTCAATCTTCAGGGTGGTCATGGCATGTTCAATTGAGAAGGAATTTAAGTGAATGAGAACTGGATCAATTCTATGGTTTAATGGCTTTAATTCAAAATATCACTCTTTCACAAGAGGGTTCAGATGGGGTGGTCTGGAGAGGGAATGGGGAAGGAGTATATACGGTCAATTCGAGTGTGAAGTTATGTTGTCCTGCAAGTACATAAGACTTTTTTTGGATGAAGCACGTTTGGAGGGGATTGGTGCCGCCGAAAGTGGAGGTTTTATGTGGCAAGTGGTGCTTCAAAGATTGCCAGTTAAACTAGAGTTACAGAGGATAGGAGTTTCAACTATTGTTGACGTTGTTTTCCCTTTATGTAACAAGGCAGATGAATCCTCAACACATTTATTTTTTTCTTGTGTTGTGGCGTGGTCTTTATGGAATAAATTTTTGAGTTTTTGGGAGTTTGTTCAGCTTTTCAAGCCAATGCTCAAAATTTCTTGTTTGCTTGGGAGGAATTGGTTCCTAATTCTAAAATTTAGTCCTTCATTCTGGGGGTGGTTCTATGGTCAATTTGGAAGTGCATGAATGCCATTGTGTTCGATGGGGGGAGGTTAGATCAGATTGATATATTTTTTATGGCAAGAAGTAGGTTGGCGGCTTGGTTCTTAGCTAACTTCAAGGAGGCATATATTCCTAAGGACTTTCTTATTAGTGATCCATCACTTGGGGACAGTTGCTCTTATTCAAGTTCTATTATCAAAATCGAGTCCTGGTCATATCCTCCAAAGGGATTTACAAAGTTGAATGTGGATGCGACAGTAACTGCAGATTGGAGGAAAAGTGGTGTTGGAGGCATTCTTAGAGTTGAGGATGGCTCGGTGGTGGGTTCTTTCAAAGAGGCTGCTGGTCCAGGTCCTCCTATCTTGATAGAGCTTATGGCAATTAAGAAGGGCTTATCCTATTTTCCTTCGTTTCGATAACGTTTTAAGGAACATTTAATCGTTGAATTTGACAGTAAATTAGTAGTGGATTTGGTCAAGAATAGAGATCGATGTCCCTATGTCTACTTTGATTTACTAAAGGATATTGGTGATTTGTTTAGAGGTTTGAATGGTATCATTAGATGGGTTGCTAGGTCAGCCAATGTTGAGGCTGACACTTTAGCAAAGGAAGGTATTGGATATATACTGTTCTGGTTGTATTAGGTTTTTATGCTTTGGGTTGGTTTGTTGTAAAGGGAGTTTGTATGGGTGTTTTAAGACTTATGTATCTTGAGGTTATTAATGAAGTTTTAGGTACTCTTTTCCTCTTTTCGCTGATTAAGGAGCACTTTGTGATCCTTTAATCAAGAAGGGAGTTTTAATGAGGCCTACCATTCCTATAAAAAAAAAGTAAGCATTAACTTAATTAGTATTATATGTTTCAGATCTGAAATAACCTTCAATATTTTTCCACTCCCTAACTCAATATTTGTTATAAATCTACCTCCGGAATTACATATCCAACTGTAATTACCTAGGGTGGTACTTCATCATCCAAATTCCCAGCTGAATAGCATACCATAATTTTTTTAATGGCACGAAAAGCTCCAAGATTCATCTTTTCTTGAAAATAAGTTGTATGGTACTTCATTGGTATTGCCAAAGATACAAATATTACATCAACAATATTATCAATGGCTTCTTGAATTGCAGCATCTGAAATTCTGTCTATGTTGATAAGTAATGGATGTTTCTCACATATGACTGCATCTGACTCAGACATGACTGTGAAACCTGAAGAAATTATAATGGAGAATGAAGAAATGGAAGGTATTAACCCTGGAATTCTATGCTTTTCCTTTTCAAGGCTTCTACCTTTCACTTCCTCACTTAGCTATTTTGGATTTTATGGGGTTTTTATTTTATTTTATGGAATTTGGGAATCCACATATACTGTTATTTGGTTGTGGTGGATTTTATGCTGCAAAAGAATTAATAGGCACCGGTATGCCTTAAAAGTGTTTTGGTTGTTTTTTTTATTTTAACTTGTTTGATACTCATTGAATACTTTATGTGTTGCAGGTGGCAAAGAAGAGGGGGCAAGAAAGGTTGGTTTTACTTTATGTGTTGCAGGTGGCAAAGACAAGGGGGCAAGAAAGGTTGGTTTTACTCCTTTGGTTTGTGGTTGATGATTTTCATATAATTGAATTGCATGATTTTCAAAGAGGATTATAAATAGTTGACATTACTATTTCTTATGTGGTGGCTGAATTTGCAATTACAGTGGTACAATGTAAATTTGTTTCTCAAAATGCCATAAAATATGAGAAAAGATGATAAATAGGATTATAAATAGGACACATATTTTAAAATAACTATTTAAAATTATAAGCGAAAAATAAATGTATTGGAACAAAATCATGTTCGGACAATTAAATCATAAGCGAAAAATAAATGTTCCAAGTCTCCTCAGATCATAAGCAAACAAGTTTCAATGGAGAAAAGAAAGGATTCGAGAACCTAGGGTTTTTAAAACTATTAAGGTCCGAAGAAGGGAGGAGATTGGGAGTAAAATAGATCTGAGGGAGTAAAACAGATCTGAGGGAGTAAAATCAGTGAAGACGGTGGTGTTAATGAAATCTATCTTTGAGAAAGAGAGGGAGGCACCTTTTAGCCTTTCAATATGTTTTTGTAGTTAGTATTTAGAAATTCATACAGATTGTATCGTCAAGTATTTTTCCTCTATTTGTTGCCTGGTTTGTTCAATTTTGAATCATAAATTTTCATTTGACATGTGAATTCAGATGAGTCACACAATCCGAAATACTCAGATGGACGAAGATATTTCGGAAAATGCAGAGAAAATTGGTATTCAACGACCCTCTATCTTTTTCCTTTTTTGCTTTTGAATGATATGTTTCTGCAGCTGATTCAGACATGACTGCGAAACCTGAAGAAATTGTTATTGGGGGGTGAAGTAAAGGAAGGTAATCATGGAATTCTATGCCTTTCCATTTTCCTCTTCAATGCTTCGGTGTTTCACTTTCTCACTCGACTATTTTGGATTTTATGGGAGTCTGTGTTCAATTTGTTTTAATTTTATGGAATTTGGGAATTCACATATATTATTATTTGGTTGTGGTGGATTTTATGCTACAAAAGAATTAACAAGCATTGATATGCCTTACAAGGTTTACAAGTGTGGCTGTCTTTGATTTTAACTTGTTTGCTTCTCATTGAACACTTTATGTGTTGCAGGCAACAAAACCCTTGAACCTGAATAGAGCACAGACGAGGAGGGAAGAAAGGTTGGTTTACTCTTTTTGTTTGCTCTTTTGGTTTACCCCTAGAATGTTTTTCAAAGAGGGATTATAAATAGTTGACATGCTGCATTATTATTATTTTTATGAGGTAACTTGATTGTGCAATTGCAGTATTACACTGTAAGATTTTTTCCTGGTTTAAGTCGTTACGAACAGGAATTGGTTTTTTACGTTCTTAAGTCAGAGTGCTGAGTCAGTTTTTTACGTTCTGGTTTTATGGCTGCAGTATGCTATATGTTTTTAAATCTTATGTAAAGCAGTTTAAAACTAGGAATTGGTTGTACATTATGATTTAGAGTAATGAAATTCAGAGGTGCTCTAGTCCTCCTTTCTATGTCCTTCATGCTACTGATATAACATGTAGGAGGGTTTCTAATGAGGCCTTTCTTTTATAAAAAAAAGTCATTACGAACAAGGGTGCTTGATTTTAGACACACTTCCCAAGTAAGCATGGTTCTTCCACTTCCACTTGATTCGGTTTGATTATTATATGTATGTTTAACTGCTACTTTGCATTGAATTAGATTGGATATTGAAATTACTATTTTTCTTTTCCTATGTTTTTCATCGACAGTGAAGGAGTTGGTTATATTAGCAGCGTCGAAAATCCAAGAATAAAGGAAGTTTATATGACTGAGGAAGAAGCTGATAAAATTGTTGGTCCAGTTTACTAAATTTTAACTAATAAATTTGTGTGTTATATATGGAAATTAATGCATATGTTTATTTTGTTTTTCCAGGGTTAGCTGATGTTGAATTTGTGATGCATGGGGAATATCATGTTCTATTTCCAAAGCCACCTCCTCCACCTCGAGCAGAAGATCGTTATTATCCATGGTAAACATCTTTGGAGCCACCCGGTCCAGAAGCTGCTGGTGCAACCCCACAAATATATTTGAATCCTTTGTTAATTTCGATTTTGGTTTGGTAAGTTAGATAGCATTTGAAGAATTGAGTTAGATATTTGATCACTATATCCATGAATTTAGCCTGGTTGTATTAAGTGGATTTTATAATTGGTTGGTAATAGGGATGGATGCTTGGATGTTGAAATAATGCCACCGTGAAAATATGTTGCTACATTCATCTGAAATTGAAACTTTGTTTTGCCATTGAATTTAGGGCAAACTACGTGTTTAGTACCAAAATAAAACAAACAAAATTTTAGGTATGTTTTTGAAAAAAATTGAAAGATTAAGTACTAAAATAGATTAAAATTGATAGTTTAGGTACTAACTATGTAGTTTACCCTTGAATGTATTTATAGGCCTGTGAGGATGATATCCTCTAAGAGGCTTGCACGTTCTCAAAGTAGATTATAAATAATTGACATGCGTGACACATTTGTGTGGTAATTGATTATGCGGTTGCAATTTTCAAAAAAAATAAATAAATAACTTCATGTTCATGGTTTTTTTGATCTTCAGTAATAAATGAACCAATTCCCTATATGGAGAAAAAATATGTATTAAAAATAAGTAGTAACTTAATTAGTATTATATGTTTTAGATATGAAATAAAAAAAACCTTCAATATTTTTTCACTCACTAACTCAATATTTGTAATAAATCTACCTCTGAAATTACATGATCTAACTGTAATTTCCTAGGGTGGTATGAAACTTATTACTTCTTCATCATCCAAATTGCCAGCTGAATAGCATACCGCAATATTTTCTTAATGGCACGAAAAACTCCAAGATTTATCTTTTCTTGAAAGTAAGTTGTATGGTACTTCATTGGTCTTGTTAAAGATACAAATATTACATCAACAATATCATCAATGGATTCTTGAATTGCAGCCATAAGTTCGTCATCATTTACAGCTATGTATGATTTTTCACGTATGTCTGATGCACTTCCATAAACCTTATAGGAATCAATCTGTGCATTTGAATTAGCACCACTGATTTCCTTTGAAATTCCATCGATACCTTTAAGACACTCTAAACTTAAAAAGGAACCAACATCAATTGATGCAATATTAGTTCCATGACTAGTCCTATATTCTATTAAAGCGGAACCAACTAAATCAAATAATTTGTTAAAATTCTTCAATGACAACATTTTTCTGCATTGTAAAACAATACAAATGTTAATATAGTAGAGTAATTACAATAAATTATTTTTATAACAAGTACTTTTGGTTAGATGATAATTTTTTTTTTAAATTCTTTATAACTATTAAAATATTTGAATTAATTTTGAAGGAAGAAATATAAATTTTACCTTCTCTAAGGAACTTTTATATGACAATCTTTATATTTGTCGTCAATAATATCAATAATATTCTTATCGTGAAATGATCTGTGATTAACATTTATGTCGGGGTCAATGATCCAAATAACTTTTCTATTTTTATCAACATCTGAAATTTTATATTTGACCTCGAGTTCTTTTAGTATTTTCTTGTTCATCCCAAATTTTTGCATCCTGAATGTTGTTTGATGGATAAGTGTATTATAAAATAATCAATAGAATAATTAATTGTTCAAATTTTACAAGACGATTGAGAGTGGGGGAGGATAGAAAACTTAGGGTTCATAAAAATTTAGAGATGTTGAAGAGATTGAAAGAGATATCATAATTATATAAATGCAAAGCTTCTACCTTTCTTACTGTGAAAATAGGAAGGGATAACCTGGATCTGAAGTAGAGTTGTAAGCTCCTTTCATCTAGACCATCAAGTCATTTTGGAGAAGACCTGAAAACCAAAAATATTGGAAGATTTTCTACCTAAAAAATTGTTGATACTTGACCTTAATGCTAAAGAAAGGTTCTTTGTTGAAAAAAGAGGAAAATAAAAACAAATTACACTTAATTCCCACTAGGCTTATTTTAAAAGGACTGAGCTTAATCAAGAAAACAAGAATACCAATCAACCAACCAAAAACCTAGTAAAAGTTATAGCAAAACCCATGTGATGACAAACAACCACATTTGTTTTCATATATGCTTGTTCCCTTAATTGTTCTTTACAATAACTACAATACATTAATCATATTCGTAGTTCAATATATTAAAATGTAAAAATTAAAATCTTATTAATGATAATTAACTTACTTGGAACACAAAACAACTTCATATTCATGGTTTTCTTGATCTTAAGTAATAAATGAACCAATTCCCTATATTGTGAAAAAATATGTATTAAAAATAAGGAGTAACTTAATTATGATTATATGTTTCAGATATGAAAAAAATAACCTTCAATATTTTTCTACTCCTTAACTCAATATTTGTTATAAATCTACCTCCGGGATTACATGATCCAATTGTAATTATCCAGGGTGGTATGGAACTTATTACTTATTCATCACCCAAATTCCAAGCTGAATAGCATACCACAAATTTTTTTAATGGCATGAAAAGCTCCAAGATTCATCTTTTCTTGAAAGTAAGTTGTATGGTACTTCATTGGTCTTGCCAAAGATACAAATATTACATCAACAATATCATCAATGACTTCTTAAATTGCAGCCAGAAGTTCGTCATCATTTATAGCTATGTATGATTTTCCACGTACGTCCAATGCACTTCCATAGACCTTATTGGAATCAATCCGTGCATTTGGATTAGCACCACTGATTTCCTTTGAAATTCCATTGATATCTTTAAGACACTATAAACTTAAAATGGAACAAACAATTATTAATGCACAATTAGTTCCATGACTAATCATATCTTCTATTAAAGTGGAACCAACCAAATCAAATAATTTGATAAAATTCTTCAATGACAACATTTTCTACATTGTAATACAATACAAATGTTAATATAGTAGTGTAATTACAATAACTTATTTTTATAACAAGCAAATTTTGTTAGATTATGAAAAGCAAATTTTTTAAATTCGTTACAACTAGTAAAATATATGAATTAATTTCGAATGAAGAAATAGAAATTTTACCTTATGTAAGGAACTTTTATATGACCATTTTTCCATTTGTCATCAACAATATCAACAATATTCTTATCGTGAAATGATCCGTGATTAATATTTATGCCGGAGTCAATGATCCCAATAACTTTTCTATTTTTATCAACATCTGAAATTTTATATTCGACCTCGAGTTCTTTTTGTATTTGCTTGTTCATCCGAAATTTTTGCATCCTGAATGTTGTTTGTTGGATAAGTGTATTATGCATTCATCAATCGAATAATTAATTGTTCAATTTTTACAAAACGATCGAGAGTGGAGGAGGATTGAAAAATTAGGGTTCATAGAATTTTAGAGATTTTGAAGAGATTGAAAGAGATATCATATTTATATAAACACAAGGCTTCTACCTTTCCTGCTGTGAAAATAAGAAGGGACAACATGGATATGAAGTGGAGTTGTAAGCTCCTTCCATCTGGACCATCAAGCCGTTTTGGAGAAGACCTGAAAACCAAAATTATTAGAAGATTTTCTACATAAAAAAAGTTGCATACTTGACCTTAATGCTAAAGAAAGGTTGGTTCTTTGTTGAAAAAAGAGGAAAATGAAAACAAATTACACTTAGTTCCCACTAGGCTTATTTTAAAAGGATCGAGCTTATACAAGAAAACTAGAATACCAATCAACCAACCAAAAACCTAGTAAAAGTTATCGCAAAACACATGCGATGACAAACAACCACATTTGTTTGCATATATGCTTGTTCCGTTAATTGTTCTTTATAACAACTACAAGACATTAATCATGTTCGTAGTTCAATATATTAAAATGTAAATATTTAATCTTATGAATGATAATTAACTTACTTGGAACACTAAACAACTTCATGTTCATGGTTTTCTTGATCTTAAGTAATAAATGAACAATTCCCTATACGGAGAAAAAATATGTATTAAAAATAAGCATTAACTTAATTAGTATTATATGTTTCATATATGAAATAAAAAATAACCTTCAATATTTTTCTACTCACTAACTCAATATTTGTCATAAATTTATCTCCGGAATTACATGATCCAACTGTAATTACCCAGGGTGATATCGAACTTATTACTTCTTATTCACCCATATTCCCAGCTTAATAGCATACCACAATATTTTTTAATGGCACGAAAAGCTCCAAGATTCATATTTTCTTGAAAGTTATGGTACTTCATTGGTATTTCCAAATATACAAATATTACATCAACAATATCATCAATGGCTTCTTGAATTGCAGCCTGAAGTTTGTCAACATTTATAGCTATGTATGATTTTCCATGTATGTCCAATGCACTTCCATAGACCTTATAGGAATCAATCCGTGCATTTGGATTAGCACCACTGATTTCCTTTGAAATTCCATCGATACCTTTAAGACACTCTAAACTTAAAAAAGAACCAACAACAATTGACGCACAATTAGTTCCATGACTAATAATATCTTCTATTGAAGCGAAACCAACCAAATCAAATAATTTGTTAAAATTCTTCAATGACAACATTTTTCTGCATTGTAAAACAATACAAATGTTAATATAATAGATTAACTGCAATAAATTATTTTTATAACATGTAATTTTAGTTAGATGATGAAAAACCAAAATTTTTAAATTCTTTATAAATAGTAAAATATATGAATTAATTTTGAATGAAGAAATAGAAATTTTACCTTATGTAAGGAACTTTTATATGACCACCTTTCCATTTGTCGTCAACAATATCAACAATATTCTTATCGTGAAATGATTTGTGATTAACATTTACGCTGGAGTAATAAAGCATCGGGACCAGATGGTTTAAATATGGGCTTTTTCAAAAGATTTTGGCAGGTCCTCAGGGCTGATATTATGAAAATTTTTCATGATTTTTATTTGGGGAAAGAATGGGAACATGGGATTAATCATACCTTTATCACTCTCATTCCAAAGGTCTCTAACATTGGTGGTCTTGATGACATTAGGCCAATTAGCCTAGTTGGTGGGTTGTATAAGATCATTTCTAAGTGTTTGTCGAGGAGATTGAGGGGTTACATTTCAGACATCATTAGTCCAACTCAGTTTGCCTTCATACCGGGTAGACATATTCTGGAATGCTCTTTAATTGCTAATGAAGGAGTGGATTATTGGAGAAAAAATGGACTCAAGGGTTGTGTATTCAAGGTTGATTTCAAGAAAGCTTACGACTCTATTGAGTGGTCTATTGTATTTAAATTAATGGAGAAAATGGGATTCGGGTCCAGATGGAGGGGCTGGATTGAGCAGTGTGTAACCACAACTTCTGTTTCGGTTCTTGTAAATGGAGTTCCTTCTGAAGAATTCCCAATGGCTAAAGGTCTTCGACAGGGTTGTTCACTGTCTCTTTTGTTATTTAATTTAGTAGGGGAGCTACTTAATCTATTGATTCGAAGGGCAGTGTCACAGGGTTTATTTTCTGGAATGATGATCGGCAGAGAACTGGGGTCTGTAAATGTGTCACATTTACAGTTTGCGGATGATCTTATTATATTTTCTTGTGCCTCGAAGATGCAAATTCATAATGTCAAAAGGGTGCTTCGAGTTTTTCAATTGGTTTCTGGTCTACAGCTGAATTTGAAAAAGAGTAAATTGTTTGAGTGAATGTTAATGAAGAGGAACTGCTGGAATGGGCTACTTCTATTGGATGTTCAATTGGGAGATTTCCTTCTGAATATCTAGGTCTTCCCCTAGGTGCTACAAGAAATTCTGCAGCTATTAGGGAACCCGTTATTAATAATTTTTTAACAAGTTATCCGGGTGGAAAACAACATCTCTCTCTTTAGCAGGGTGGCTAGTGTTAATTAAGACGGTTCTATGTTCGCTTCCTACATATTATCTTTCCATATTTAAAATTCCAGCTTCTGTTCTTAAAACCCTTAACTCTATTATGTCTAAATTTCTATGGGGAGGGGGAAATGACATTAGAAAAATTCACTGGGTTAGCTGGTCTAATGTTAGTAAGTTGAAGAGTGAAGGGGGTTTAGGAGTTCTTAATCTTAACCTGATGAATAGAGCGCTTTTGGGGAAATGGACTTGGAGGTTTGCAAATGATAGAGACTCAGTTTGGAGGGAAGTTATTTGTGCCAAATATAGACTCGATTCTTCAGTTTTAACTTTGGACAATAAGCTTCCACCTAAGGTATCCTGGATTTGGAGATCACTGCTAAATAATTATTTTAAAGAAGATTTCTTTGGCACTAAGTTTAGAAGCATGAGTAGTGTTCATGTTGGTGATGGTAAAAATATTCGGTTTTGGTAAGATATCTGGGTTATGGATCATCCACTTGATGTCATTTTCCCGAGACTATTTTCTATTTCCTTAAATCAGTTTGGGAAATTATCTAAATTTGGGGAGTATATCTCTTCCGTTTGGACTTGGGATGTCAAGTTCAGAAGAAATCTTCATGACTGGGAACTTGAACAGTGGTCTAACTTGTTGGCTCATTACAGAATTTTCACTCTCTTCGGAATTTCATGATCGTGTGATCTTGAAAGGTACTGGGGATGGGGTTTTTACTGTTAGATCAGCTGTAAATCTAGGTTCATTGGAGACTTCGGGATCGGAGGTCTTTTTCTAGAAGAAGATTATTTGGAGAGGTCTACTACCTCCAAGAGTAAAGTGTTTTGTTTGGCAGATCGCTCATGGGAAGTTGGCTGTTAGGACTGAACTTGTAAAAAGAGGTGTTCAAGGAATTGAAGATATATTGTGTCCCCTATGCAAGATGTCGGATGAGTCTCCCTCTTATTTGTTTTTCTCTTGTTAGATGGTGTGGTCCCTTTGGAATAAGTTTTTAAGTTTTTGGAGGATTTTTTCTGTGTTACCAGCGGACGCTAAAAGCTTCTTTCTAGCTTGGGATGGTTTAAAGTCTAACTCTTTGATTTGGCCTTTTATTCCAGGGGTCGTTCTGTGGACCACTTGGAAAATGAGGAATTTCGTGGTGTTTGAAGGGGGGAAGTTTGATAAGGCATAATTCTTATTTTTAGCAAGGTTTAGGCTTGCTTCTTGGTTCTTAGCAAAGTATAAAGATGCGTCTATTCCTATGGACTCACTCATTTCCGATCCTTCTCTTGGGGACTTGTTTTCTCTTCGCTCTACTCAGATTTCTCCTACTTTACTTTGGTCTCCTCCTCCTTTGGGTTTTGTTAAATTAAACGTTGATGCTGCCACTACAAGGGATTGAAAGAAAAGCGGGTTAGGAGGAGTTCTAAAAGATTCCTCAGGTTCTACTATAGGCTATTTCAAGGAAACTGCCGGTCCGGGACCTCCTACGTTGATGGAGTTAAAGGCTATTCTTATGGGGTTGTCTTTCTTTGCAAACTATCGATAGAGGATCAAGGACCGTCTGATTATAGAGAGTGATAGTAAGGTGGCTGTGGATTGGATTAAGGGGGATGAATTATGTCCTGTTGTATATGCCTTCTTGATTAAAGATATTGCTCATAGGCTTAATGCCTTGGAAGGTGTTGTTAGATGGGTTAGTAGGACATCCAATTTAGAGGCTGATGCCTTAGCTAAAGAAGACATAGGCTGAGTCAGTAAAGTTGTTGATGGCTGTTTAGGGTGGTGTCTGGATTTTATGTGTTTTGTAAGGGGATTACTAATGTTGTTTTCATTGATTTTGTGTCTTTAGTTAGGGTGTTTTATGGGTGTTATCAGCTTATTTGGTTATGTTGGGGTGGTTTTGTCAGTTGTATTGTTGGTTGTATCTTATGTTTTTATTGTTCAATAAAATCCTAAGGCACTCTTTTCCTCCTTCCGCTGATTAAGGAGCTTCTCTACAAGCTCTATTAATCAAGAAGGGGGTTTTTAATGAGGCCTGAAATTCTTATAAAAAAACTAAATAAGATTTAATTGGCATTTATAGCTTTCTCATTTCCTATGACCATATAAGTTTCTTGACAATGATAGAGGGAAATATCATGGCTGATATGAGAAGATGGCATTTAATGCATTTCTTGGAGTTTAAATTGCAGTGTGAAGCTTCTATGTTCGACTCATTTGTAATGTTTGCAATGTAATCACATTTATTTGACAAAATCGGTCATAAGGGTTGTGTTCAAGTGATAAATATTTGTGTAATAGGTTATTTTTTCCTTTTTTTTTCTTTCGGAGCAGTGGGGAGTTGAGAACGGTGGTGATCGAAACTTATTTGAGTGAAATTGGTCGTGTAGGAGATGAATTCCATCTCTAGAAGATAATTATTCCCTCATGCGTATGTTTGTGCCTAAAATATGGGAAGTTGGTTTATTTTTTTTGATAGAAAGTAGGCCTCATTAAAACCCCCTTCAAATCCTCAATGTTGTGAAAGTAACATGAAGGATCAAAGAATGAGGAAAAGAGTGCCTAGAAACTTTATTCATAAGAACCAAATTACATAGGCAGAACTATCTCTTAAACCTTAAACAGAAGAACATAAGACTTAAATCAAAACACCTAACACAACATAAAGTTACATTTCCGGTTAATCAACACAACCAAATAAACCAAAAATCACCCTATCCCATCTTTAGCTAATTTGTCAGCTTCCCAGTTTGCCGCCCTCAAAATATGCCTAATGATAACATCCTTTGCTGCCAAAAGCAAAACGATATCCTTCACCAAGGATAAAAACAAAGGAGTGCATAAGCCCAAATTCTGGATCCACTTCAGAGCATTAATTGAGTCAGATTCCAGAATAACTCTCTGATTAGGAGCCAAATCTAACTCATCCATAAGACAAAGCCCCCTCTTATTTGCCAACAATTCTGCCATGATAGGAGGACCACCCCCAACTGATTCAGAGAACCACTGCAACAACATTCCTCTACTATCCCGAATCAGACCACCAATACCTCCTTTATCCCACCCCGAAACCATCGCTCCATCAACATTTAGCTTTAAGAACCCATCCGGGGGAGGAACCCAGCGAATTGATTGAGAGCAGTCCTTTCATGATCTTCCCACCAAAACAGCCAGTTTTAAATCGCCTACTAGGGAATCTAAAGGAATAACCAAATCGTTGAACCGAGCTACTCTAAATCTAAAACTGAAAGACAATCTGACCAAATCCAGCTTTCCTTTCTGAAAAATAATCTCATTTCTACATTTCCATACTGACAACACCACTGCCCTAGGAATGAATTTCCAAATCAAAGATTTAGGCAATAAATCATCCCACAAAGTGAAAAAATCAATGATATGCTTTGGAATCACCAAATATACATTCCACATTTTAAAAAATGATGACCACAAACCCCACACATCCCTACAATACAAAAATACATGAGACGTTGATTCCACCTCCTTACCACACAATACACAACATTGATCAACAATATTTGTTACACCTCTCTTTACTAACTCCTCTTTAACCGGCACTCTCTGGTGCGCTAATTGCCAAACTCCACCTGTTCCCTAGTAAGGCTCAGTTCAAAAGTGCTAAATTAGGGATTCCTAGGCCCCCCAGTTTTTTTGGTTTAGTAACCAACTTCCAATTGACCCAATGGATATTTTTCTTGTCAACCGAACCCCCCACAGAAATGAAGCCATGATAGAGTTAAGTTTAAGTAACACAGAGGCTGGAATTCTGAAAATAGAAAGAAAATATACGGGGAGGGAACACAGCAACGATTTGACCATCACCACCCTTCTCGCTATCGACAAGGAATTAGCCATCCAACCACTCAATTTAGCATGAAATTTCGCCACTATAGGCTCCCAAATAGAAGCCGAATTCCTCTTGTACCCCAAAGGAAGTCCTAAATATTCTGATGGAAAAAAGCCTAACGAACAGCCTATATCATTTGTCCAAGTAGATAACTCCCCATCCTCAACATTAATACCAAAAATCCTGCTTTTGACTAGATTTATCTTCAACCCCACCAAAAGTTCATAAATGAGTAATACTCTTCTAACATTCCTCAAATCACAGATAGAACCTTTATTGAAAATTATAAGATCATTCGCAAATTGGAGATGTGATAGCTTGAATGCCTGTTCATGAACTCTTAAATCAAACCCTAAAACCAGTCCCATTTCCACTGCTTTAGTTAACAACAAATGCAGCAACCCAGCAGCCAAATTGAACAACATAGGTGAAAGTGAACAGCCTTGCCTCAAACCACTAGATGTATTAAATTTCTCCATAGGAGACCTATTTACTAAAACCAAAATCGAAGCAGTTGACATACATTGATACATCCAGGATCTCCACTTAACTCTAAACCCCATTCTATTCATTAATTGAATCAAAATTGTCCAATCCACCGAATCGTAAGCTCTCTTAAAATCTACCTTGAAACTACTCCCTTCAACCCATTCTTTCTCCAAAAGTCAATACTCACTTTTGCAATAAACGAGCAGTCCAATATGTTTCTACCCGGGATGAAAGCAAATTGAGACGGACTCATAATATCATTAATACACAAACTCAATCTTCTAGCTAAGACTTTAGATAGAACTTTATATAATCCTCCCACTAGACTAATAGGCCTAAAATCTTCCAATCTCTCCGGATTTGCCTTTTTTTGAATAAGAGAAATGAAAGAAAAATTCACCTCCGACTCCCACTCCTTCCCCACATAGAAATCCCTAAAAAATAGTATCACATCATCCTTCAAAAAACTCCAGAACGTCTTAAAAAACCCTAAATTCAGATTGTCCGGGCTCGGAGCTTTATTGATATCCAAATGAACAATAACTTCCCAAACTTCCTCTTCAGAAAAAGGTTTCTCCAAAGCTGAACTCTGACCTTCCGAAAGTTTAAGAAAATCCAGATTTAATTCCTTAGCCTCCAATGTGTTTTTTTTATTAAATAACCCCTTAAAGAACTCCATCACTGCTGCTTTAACTGAAGTAGGATCTTCTATGATTTCGCTGTCAACTTTGAGGGACTTAATGCAATTTATCCTCCCTCTAATTGCTACACTGTGATGAAAAAACCTTGTGTTCTTATCCCCCTCTAAACTCCATTTCAATCTAGACTTTTGCAACCAAATTGATTCTTCCTTCTTTTGTAGCTCCCATAGTTGTCTCTTTGCTTCAACAATAGAATTCATTGATGCCATGGAAATCCCTTGTTGCAAATTCATTTCCATACCCTGGATAACTTCATCCAACGATCTAATTTTGCCTGGTAATTGAAGAAAACCCTTTCTATCCCAATTTTTTGCCACGTCCTTCACCCTGTTAATTATTTTGGAAATGGACATCGAATTCTTATGTGTACAAAATTTAAGCAGCTCCTTTTTCAACAACTCACTAAAACCTTCCTCCTCTAACATATAATTAAACAAGCGAAATGGCTTCGGTCCCCAATTACATACCTTATTCTCCAGCAGAATAAAATTATGGTCAGAAATGGACCTAGGTTGCAAAGATTGACTGATCTTTGGGAAGTATGAAAAAAAACTCTGATCAACTAAAAACCGATCCAACCTCTCAAAAGTTGGAACTTCCCTGTTATTACACCACGTAAACTGACCTCCAACTAAAGGCAAATCAATTAAATTCGCCTTAGAAACAAATTCTTGAAAAATATCATTGAAGCCGAATTCACATCACCTCCTAGTTTCTCTTCATGAGTTAGTATTGCATTGAAATCTCCACCTATGCACACTGGACAATCTAGCTATTCCAGAAACGAAGATAATTCCCTAAAAAACATCTCCTTATCAGCCTCCACACTTGGACATATACATTAATAACAAACACATCTCTCGAAAACCATCCATCCACCCTTTTAAGGCCACAAATCTACTCTGGATAACCTCTTCCTGTACCACAAATACCTTCTGATTCCACAAAGATATTAATCCACCAGTAGAACCAATAGCAGGCACAACCGCCGAACCATTAAGAATTTTGCCTCCCATTTTCCTTATTAACATTGTACTGACAACTTCCAATTTGGATTCTTGTAAAAATAAATTGTCGATTTTTCTCCTCAACAAATCTCCTAATAGCTCGAGCTTTAACCCTCCTCCCCAAACCCTAACATTCCAACACATAATGGACCACTCTACCATCATATATATTTCATAACCATAATCCCCTAGTCCTACCACCAGCCTTTGATCATCCCTGTCTTTTACCAAATGAGCAACTCTGGTGACGAAATCCTTTTCTCCTCTTTTAAACTTTACCCCTAACAATTTAGATACATTCCAAATATCTAATGCTTCTTCCTTCCCTTGTTTCTCATTTTCTAAAACAAAATCAGCATCCTTACCGCTTTTAGCATCCCATCTCCTAGCATAAACCTTGTTATGGAAACCTCTTTCGACTTTACTAACCGATGCACTCCTCCCAGAAGATCACCGCTGTGAAGAATTCTCAGACCCAATCTGCAAACCATTTTCAACCGGTGTAACAGATATTGAATCTTCAATCTTATTACCATTTGTGTTTGAATTTGGACTATCTTTCTCAGGCCCAAACACCTCTAACCTACCCATGCTGGAAATAAGCCCATAATCTTGAACACCTTTATCTTTCCCCGAGGTGTCTCCTTCTAAGCTGGACACCTTTTTTCTCCCCTCAGAAATTGCCCCTGACACTATCTGCTTACTGACACCTTCACCTAATATTGTCCCCTCGGTACAAAGGTCAACAATTAAACCATTATTGACTTCTTCATTTTTTTTCAAATTACCCTCGTTAAGTGAGCCACCCCCTGAGAAATACCTCGAACCCACTCTTCAGCCCTATTCATAGAGTCTGATTTTTGTTGGATATTCAACTGCTCTTGCAGACCTCCTCGATCCTCTCTTTTACTCCCTTCCGACGAAGCCTCCTCCCAAGGATCCACTGTTCCTTATACAGAACCATCTTCCTCAACCCCATCTTCAAGCTCAAGAAAGAAATCCTCGCTGCTATCTACCTTAATCTTAATAGTGAATGACCTGTTACAAGTATTAATGATGACATGTGGAGGGGTGTCAAATGGGCTCTCAACCCTTAACAACATCTGAGCCACCCTGCAATCAACTCTTTGAACTGTCTGCTCTTGAATCTTCACTACTTTACCCCATCTGGCTTCCAAACTGGAAAGAATGAAACTGAACATTTAATGGGACACTCATCATGGATACTGTACAATAAGGTAAAAGAACACCATTTTCTTCCATCACAGGCTCCAACCTTTCAAATCAAAAGGACAAAGCCTTCCACTTGTCTTC